AAACTCTTCAAGCCCGATGTCTTTTATGGACCTACTCCGTTCTGATAATTAGAGAGTTTGTCAGTGAAACTTCTGTAACCCTTTGATATACACTTTTAAATCATATCGTCGTGTGACCCCTTCAGTTTTATAAACCAGCTTGATGGAAGAATCAAATTCACAATGGATGTGGAGAGGGATAAATGACTACCCTTCCTGGATGTTAAGGTCATTCGCTCCAACGCAATACTAAAGAGGAAACTATCCAGAAAGAAATCACATGTGGGAATAATCCTCAATTTCCAGTCTCATCACAACTAAAGACTGTAACAAGAAGTTGGAGAAACTGACTCGAATTCGCCTTAGTGATGGGTACCCAGGAGAATTTATAGAAATAAATGTATGAAGCATAAAGAACGGATTCCAACTAGGATTTTAAGAAAATAAGATCAGGAATCAGGAGGACGACCAAAAGTGGATATGCCAGTGAGCTAAAAATTGCGACCGTTACTATGAAAATGGAATATCAAGATGATAACATTAGAAAAAAGACAACCCTCTTCACCAGCTTGCCGACGCAATACGAGAAGGTTGACAAACTGGCTTGCTCGCGAGTCTAAAACATGAAATGCGGCAACTGTGAGCAGAAGTATATTGAAAAAACAGGAAGAAAAATCTGCCTACGAATCAAGGAACATTATAGACTCTGCAGAAACATGCATAGTGAAAGACCCAAAATGCAAACTATGGACTTCTAACAAGGTGCGTTTCTCTGGGTCTTCCTACCAATAAGCCCAAGTTGCGAAAACAAGGTCAAACAAGTTCTATGAAAGCCAAACTCTAATTTTCACCACTAATCCTAAAACGAACATTAATCCTAACGCTAACAATTACCATAGACTAAACTATAAATATTATGATGACGCAAATATAATAAATAACAATAAACTTAAACCAAACATGCGCCCTAAGCGTAACCCTTAACTTGACTTTAAAGCTAATTATATTAATAAACTTAAAACCTAACTCAGCCCCCAACATTGACACTAATCTGAACTCTAACTCTAAGGCTGATTAGAACCTACACCCTAAGCTAATTAAAACTTATAAACATAACTCTAGATCTAA